GGCTCGAACTGGCGACCTTCAGATTATAAGACTAGACGCTTGCTGCTTATGCTAGCTATGGTTGATCACGCAAATAGAGCAGTCTAGTCAGTGCGTACCTCTATTTGGCACCTCTTATGGCAGGAGTAAGACGATACGGTACTGTATAACAACTTTATCTATTCAGATGATTTTTTTTTTGAATTTGGACGTATTTTCTCTCATTTTCGCAATGCCCGGACACATTAAGCAGCATGCGCTGGCTGCTCTCAGTAGCCGCAAGACTGACGGCAAGGGTCTACGCGTGGCCATTGTACATGCCAAGTGGAATTCGGAGGTGGTGAACGCACTTGTTGCCGCCGCTAAGACGGAGTTGCTGGATGCCGGCGTGGTCGAGAGCGACGTGGTCATCGCGGCCGTGTCGGGCGCCTATGAGCTGCCGTACGCCGCGAGCCGCCTTATTGCGTCGCAGAAACTGGACGCTGTGATCTGCGTTGGCTGTCTCATCAAGGGAGACACCATGCACTTTGAGTACATCTGCAACGCCGTGTCACAGGGCATCATGCGCGTCCAGCTGGATACGGGCGTGCCCGTGCTCTTCGGCGTGCTTACGGTGCTGAACGATCAACAAGCCAAGGATCGCGCCGGCCTCTCGGATAAGGGACACAATCATGGCACCGAGTGGGCGCAGACGGCCGTCGAGATGGCGCGCCTACGCGAGGCCACGCTTAAGGGTGGCTGCCCCATGCGGTCCCACGAGCACCTGCCATACCACAGTCTGACCAACTGCCCATTTTTCACGGTCTCAACGTGGCTGCACATTGCCACCCTCGGCACGCTCGGTTTTGTCGCTGCTGTAGTCGCTAAGAAGCTCATGTAGTAAAGGTTGACGAAGCACGCAACAATCAGATGAGAGCTATTGCAGGATGACACATTAAGCTTTTGCTGTTGACGGCTTTACATGACTTTCGGTCGTCCAAGTCGTGCAACTACAACTTGAGCTGAACCTTGCCAGGGAAGCTGCAACACGCACATTGGAGTCATTGCTGCGATCCAAATTTATCACTGCTGATGTTGCGAATTGATGAATTCCTGTAAGTCGAAACACAGAATAAAAAGCTGCACCATGCATACCAAACCTATTGTCCATACTTGCTGTCACTGGCAGACTTGCTCTTGTCGTTGTCATAGGTCCAGGCGTCACCATCGAATTGCGCAATCCTGCCTCATTGCAACGTGTTCCGATGCAGATGACCGTACGGGATGTAAATATGTAAGCGTCCTCATGGGACTCGTGCGTAGGTGACCAAAGATGAAGAGCAAGCTCACACTGATCTTCTCAAGCTCAGCATCTTGAGCAAATTGGCCCCTTGGTTCGCCAGCTATCAGCATCGTTAACACCAATGGCGCTAATGACAGACTGTCGATACTCATGCATCTGATGCTTGAGAAATTGAACGACTTAGCTCGTTATCGCCTTCAAGCTCTGTCGCGTTGACCCGGATATAGTTACACAGATTTCCACGTTACGAAGTCGCTGAGTCTCACTCATCACGTCCTGCTCTACAAATGCTAAAAAATCATCTTCTCCCATCTCTGTTTGAGCCTTTAAAGTAGCAAGACGTCGGGCATCGTCTCCATCTGAATCGGCGCGGTGAAATCTTTTGCGGCAGGTCAAGTTTTCCTCTTAATACGTGCCTCCTTTACACAAGCACCCTTTTCCAACGCAAATCTTGTTGTCTATCTTCTGTGGTCAAAACAGTAGTATTAGTGAGGCCCATTCACCCCACGCTGAAGCTCTTCCTTCACAACAAAAGCAGCTTGGGCAAAGCACACTTACATGTGCTCCCTGTCAACCTCGTCACTATCGTCACGTTTCATCAGCATGGGCACCCTTGCGAGCGTCTAGAACGTGACCTGCTGTTTACGACACAACTATTTCTCTTTGCGCTCCATAGACATGTCTTCATCGTCTCATTTGCAGCACGCTGCACTTTTTAGTGTGCAGATTTCTTTCGCTTGTGCTCTTTCATACTCTTTGCAAACTAAGTCGCGATTCTCGACCGGCAAAAATTCCCCGTGGCACGAGCGCGAAGCAGTCACGCAGACCAAGCACTTGATCGTGCTCCGCGATCGGAGATTGCGCTGAGCTACCCCTATCGTTTTTCAAGACACTTTTCTAGTAACGTCGTCCTCGTCCAAATTCTCCTCCTGTGTATCTTCTTCCACCTTAACGCGATGTATCTCCATCTGCAGCACCTGAGCTCAAACTAACTTGGTGTCATCGACACTTCTCTCAGCACTTGCTCGAGTCCCTTTCACTTCATCTGCTGGATGTAGAATTGCTTGCTTAGACTGAGCTTCCTCACTAGAGTCACGAAGTACCTGCAAGCGCCTGCTAATTGATGCAATCCTTGATGCGCACGCCTTGCATGCCACCTGTCTTGAGCTTCCGTATGTGCGCATTATATTCTGCTGAACGTTTGTCATTATTTTCACAAAAGACTAGCTTTGCAACAGTTTCTTTTAGCTCTCGCTTGGCCTATAAACAAAGAGCCTCCTTGACACAGATCTACAGTAGTTCACATTTCCCTTCATATATATACAGCGGAGGTAATCGATATCCGTGGCAGTGTCCGAGCGTTCTCACATCGACCTTGACGCTAACCTCGTTCTTGTTATAGGGTCATTTTACCTTGACGTTATTCGTCGTCAAAGCTTTCATTTCGCTGTTGTCCGTCGATGCACTTCTAGCTGACAGTGTGGAGCCTCCACATTGAAGATCTGAGGTCCCTTATCGATCTTTTCTTGTGTGGGCACCCGTCTTTCATCCAATTGTTGCCACTAATAAGTAGCGACTTCGAGTCACGTCAACTATTGCCTCGAAGGCGCCTTTACCTTATATATCTATGCACCTGCTGCATCTCCATCACTAACAGTACTACCAGGCATGTTTCTTCGAGCTCTACAGTAGCGGTTTGTATGAGACGAACTACCGAGACATAACGTCGTGCTGATGTGAACTACACTGTTTAATGTGGAACGACACCTCAGAAGAAAAGATTTATTTCAGGTTGCATACTTCTACTACTATACTTAACGGCTACTTCTCTTAACTTCTAAAGTAATAATGCCTTGGTATCACTTTAGGCAAGTTATTCTGTACTGTGATAATGCGATCAATGATAGTAGAGTACTCGTTGAGGCAGATGCAGTGTAATGTCTACGTTCAGAACGCTATGTTGTTAATGTACATAACAAATGATGATAAGAAAAGTTGTATGCAGATTTGTAACAGTAGCTTTGCAGATCCATGTGGGTCGTTCAAGGTCCCCTAGTGTCAGGAAATCGTGCAGATTGTCAAGTGACCTTTTTCCACCAACGAACATCGTTGCTCGTATAGCTCCAGTGTGTTGATCTTCGTCCACCAAGAAGAAATGCCAGACCATCTTTATCTTTACACATTTTAGTGATATGATCTCCGGCCTTCCAATGCACGATCGGACCAAAAATATATTATAAATCCACTCGAGTGTTTACGCTGGTGTGGTTACGCTCAAGCCTAATTTTTCTTCTTGGTCAGACCTGACACAATGTCGTCGATACGCAGCAGCATACACGCCGCCTCCACGGCTGTCTTAATGGTCTGGGTCTTGACCTGGAAGGGCTCCCACACGCCTAGCTCCTCGGACGGCGTCACCTTACCTGTCACACCGTCCACACCGTACGACTCGTCCGTCTCGGCTTGCTTAGCACGCAGCGACGTCATCACGCGCACCACGTCGGCACCACAGTTCTGCAGCAGCGTGCGAGGGATGACCTCCAGGGCCTCACCGACTGCCCGGAACGGGAACTGCTCCACACCCTCGATCTCGTCAGCGCGCTTCTTGAGTTCGTGCGCGAGACGCATTTCCGTCGCGCCGCCTCCCGGCAGTAGCAGCGGCTCAAACACAACGTTGCGCGCCACCTGCATGGCATCCTGCAAGTTGCGCTCGATCTCGTTCAACACATCCTTACTACCACCGCGCAGCAGGATGCTGCATGCTCCAGGGTCCTTGCACTCCTCGAAGAACGCAAAGTACTCGTCACCGAGCTTGCGCACCTCGAAGAGGCCGCACTTGGTGCCGATGTCCGACTCCTGTATCTCATCTGCGCGGCTCACAATTGTCGCGCCAGTAGCTCGAGCCACGCGGTTGTTGTCCGTCTTCCTCAGACGACGGAAAGCGGTGATACCCGCCTTCACAAAGTAGTGCTGGGCCAGATCCGACACGCCCTTCTCCGTGACAACCACGTCAGGCTTCATAGCGACCACCTGTGCACACAAGTTCTCAATGTACTCCTCTTCCAGACGCAGTAGTGTGTTCCAGTCTTGGTCGTTCGTGAGCTCCACGTTTGTCTGACTCTCACCCTTCTTGTACTCGAGCGGGCAGTCCAGGAGCAGAACGCGCGGGTTTTCAATGCGTCGACGCATTTTCGAGTGGGTCACGTCCTTGTTGAACATGACGCCTTTCAAGACACGGCTGTCTTCGAGTTCTCCCCCCGGGATCTTTTCCACTTTGGCGTACCGTTTAACGTCCACCTCCTTGCGTCCAGACACCGACGTGCGCACAACTGTCAGCACGGCGTCCAGTGCCAAGTCACTCACCAAATTGCCCACCCGAGGGGAAAACTTGGTGCCAATGGATGACTGTACTAGGTTGCGCATGTCCTCCTTGTTTTCAATGTCAATGCCACGCGCCAACGTCTTGGCGATCTCCAGCGACGCGCTGAGTGCGCGGTTGAAGCCGCGGATGATCACGGTTGGGTGCACTTGGTGGCTCAGGAACGGCTCGGCTACGAGCAGCAGCTCGCCCGCCAGGATGATGACGGACGTGGTGCCATCGCCCACCTCCTCATCCTGTGCCCGACTGAGCTCTATCATGCTTTTGGCTGCTGGGTGGGCCACGTCCACCTCACGCAAAATAGCATTGCCATCGTTCGTCATGACAATACCACCCATTGGGTCTAGCAGCATCTTGAGCATTGAGCGTGGACCCAGCGTCGTGCGCACAATGTCAGACACGGCTTTAGCTGCTTCGATGTTGCCCAGTTGCGCAGTGCGGCCCGTCTCACGCTTTGTGTTGGTGTCTAGAAAGAGAAGAGGAGATTAAGTAAGAAAGAAGAGGGGGAGAGAGAAGAAATAAGTAATACGTACTGAGAACCATTACCGGAGCTTGCATCATATTGGAAGGAGATAGATTTTAGTGCTTTAGATTCTTAGCAGTATGTGGCTGGTTAAGCTGTAAGGTAAAAGGTGGACAGAAGGTTGTAATTAAATAGATACATTCAGAAAACATGACGCGCAGAGTTGGAGCAACATTTATGCGACCGCTGTCGTAATGTTTCCGAGCGCTTCAAACACGTCTTTTTGGACCCCTAAAAACAACAGCTCGTGTTGAACTTAGCAAAGTGGTGCTTGTAGTCAAATAGCAATGAAAAGACCTATCTTAAAGGCAAGTTAAGTTCAATATGGTTTTGGCGGCAATATGTACTAGAACTTGCTCTGGTATTACGAAGATTTGGTAAGAAAAAACATCGTGGCGATGGTCTCCAATATGCCGGCATAATATGCGTATTTTAGCTGTATTTTGTGACATTTCACACGCATTCTTCTTCTTAACGAGCCTTTATTGCTCAGCGTTAACTGAAATTGTTCGGTACTAGAAGATGCAAACGGACATTTAGTATACGTCAGAAAAAGTTGCATCGTCAAGTCGTGCCATTGCTTCAGTACGCTACCCAAGCCGTTATCTCTACCTCGGACATGAAAGCAGGGCTACGAGCATCTGTGCAGCTCGCTCTTCTCTTCGATCGAGTAATTGCCTGCAACTCGACTTTCCTTGTTACCTTACTTTGTAGCGTACAAGAAATAGCAGTCTGGGGACATGATACAAATTGAGATTTTTTTGTAAAGCGGCCCAAATGCGAGTTTTTGGACACTAATTTCCGATGAGTTAAAAATATCTTTTCAGTACTTTTCCTAATTATCCTCAGATATTCATAGATATTATGATTCTCGTAGGACGTTTCTTAGCGTAATTTTTGACACGATAGTATAATAGCTACACATATTATCCGTAATTTATCATTAGATGTTCATAAATTATCCGTATTTTATTTACAACATATAAAAATGACGATGTCTCGGCGGACACTCGTACTCTTTGGCGGCGCCTTAGTATTGCGACTAGCACTACTGCTCTACGGCCACTTTCAGGATCTTTATATGACTGTCAAATATACGGACGTGGACTACGACGTGTATACAGATGCGGCACGGGAGATGATGGAGGGCAATTCCCCTTTCGAGCGCACGACGTATCGCTATACTCCAGTGCTGTAAGTTTTCTTAGCCTTTAATTGCAATAATTGATATTTGTATCTGATAAAATATAACAATGTGAACTACAAGAGCTTTTCTGCTGTTGCCAAACATTTACGTGCATCAAGAGTTTGGGAAACTGCTGTTTGTGGGCTGCGATCTCCTCGTTGGATACGTTTTGTACCAGATTTTAAGACTGAGAGGACTTCCGGATAAAAGTAAGAAACAAACACATTCGTGCCAATCGATCTAAAATTGTGTTTTTGTGTAAAAATAGATGCTATTAATTATTGCAGGTACGAAGGTCGGCTCGGATGCAAAGTGAGAATGCTGATATTGTTAACTTGATAGTTTGTGGCTGTTTCATCCATTCTCGGTCAATATCTCGACGCGAGGTAATGCGGATTCTATTGTGGTGCTTCTGGTGCTGCTCTCATTGCTTTTGATCATGCGAAAACAACTTGTACTGTCGGCTTTGACGTGCGTTTTTTAGCTCTTTTTACGAATGGCCTATAAGTTCTTACTCGCAATTTACTGCTGCATTGTTAGATATGGCGCTGCTGTCCACTTCAAGATCTATCCCATCGTCTATGCGTTGGCATTTCTTGTGGTATGGGTAGTGCCAAACGATGGAGGACAATGTTTGATGATTGACTGGGTTTTATATGCTCCTGCTCAGTTTCTCAACGAAGACTTTCGGGCAGCAAATGCCATACGGGCCTCTTCGTGTAACTCTTTCTGTTGCTTTTGGATGCAACTTGCGGGGCAGCTCAATCGTGACCGCCTAGCTTTCGGTCTTGTGAGTGGAGGGATATTCCTCATGCTTGCAGCGGGCTGTTATTATCTGTACGTTGTTATTTGGATAGTTAGTTATGAGACACTGCCGTGCTAGCCTTACTAATGCTTTTGCCTTGATTGTCATTTTTACGGTCTAGCTACGGATTTCAATGTCTGTACGAAGCTTATCTTTACCATTTCACTCGTACGGACAATCGACACAACTTCTCGCTCTACTTCTACGATCTTTATCTCCGATACAACACTTCATCGGGTTTTGGAGTTGGTCTTCTTGCTTTCCTGCCTCAACTGACGTCACTTGTTGCAATTTCATTCTCTTGTGGCCGCGACCTACCCTTCGCATTGTTTGCACTGACGATGGTCTTCGTCATATTCAACAAGGTCTGTACGGCACAGGTACGCAACAGCTTTTTTTCGTACTATGTAAAGAACATCGTACATTGAGTTGTATGCTTCTCTATAGTATTTCTTGTGGTACACCGCCTTCCTACCTCTCATTTTCCCGCTGACAAGCCTACAACTCAAGTGGAAGGGCGTGGCTATGATTGCTGCGTGGCTAGGAGGCGAGGTAAGCTGTATGCCTCATTTTACTTTAGTGCCAAATCTGATGTTATGATTGTGCTTTTGTTTAGCTGCACTGGTTGTATTGGGCATACCACTTGGAGATGCAAGGTGTCAACACTTTTTTTCCCCTCTGGGTAGCTGGCCTCGTCTTCTTCTCAGTGAACGTTAGCATTCTTGCCACACTAATGCGCTACCATTCGTTCACACCCCTATTCTATAATGGTGAAGTTCTTCAGTTGGTGCCAAGTGGCCGAGCTAAACTTGAATAATGACAGCTACCTCTAGATAGTAAACTCGTATCACATTTTGTGTTCCAATAAACTCATTCCGGCTTATACCACGTAGAACGTTTCATTACACTCGATACAAAAGAAGATGAAACGGCCTTCCTTCAGCCGACAACTCTCGAAACAAACACACTACTATGTCCAAACAAACGTTCAAAGTGAGTATCTCCAGGTCACCCAAAAGTAGAGGCGCGCGTGTTCTGCTCGTCTATATTCGTCAATGGCGTATACCGCACGTTACTGCACTTCAATCTTACAAGATTCTTTAGGTCCACGACCTGTACGTCCTCCTCGAAATGCATATGTTGAACCTTCGCTTGTGAGATATCCGGTGCCTTGTACTTCTTCAGCATCAGCGATGAAATAACAACAGATACCGAAGAGAAAGCCATTGCGAGCCCAGCGCACGCAGGCGGCATCGTTTGATGGATCAGCGGAAAGAAAATACCAGCAGCCAGCGGAATGCCAATCAAGTTGTACACGACCGACAAGAAAAAGTTCAACTTGATGCGAGAGAACACCACACGAGCCAAATCCAGCGCCACCACCACATCCGTCAGAGCGCTTTTCACCAGGACCATGTCAGCCTCAGCCTTGGCGATCTGCGTGCCGGCACCGATAGCCATGCCGATGTCCGACTGCGCCAGCGCTGGTGCGTCGTTAATACCATCACCAACCATACAAACCATGCGAGGCTTCTGCGTCAGTGGGTTCACTTGCGACTGCAGCGCCTTGATCTGAGACGCCTTCTCACCAGGTAGAGCAACTGCCTTGACGTGGTTGATTCCCATCTGGCGCGCGATCGCACTGGCCGTGCATAGATTGTCACCCGTGATAAGCCACACATCCAAGCCCATGGACTTTAGATGCTTCACGACGGCTGCTGCTTCAGGTCTGGGAGCGTCCGCCAACGCAAGCAAGCCTGCCAGCTTGCCCTCGATACACACGACCACCACGGTCTTGCCCTCCAGCTCCAGCTCGTGCATGTGAGCACGTATCTTCTGGCTGATCTCAATGTTTTTTTCCTCGCAATACTCAGAATTTCCAACTAACACGTTTACGGGAGTGTTCCGAGCAGTGGCATCACTCGCAGGTATAACGCCCTCAATTCCGCGTCCAGGGACCACATGCACCTCGGTCGGGTCATGCAGTTCTAGCTTTTCATGCTCTGCTGCTGCAACCACGATAGCTTTACCAAGAACGTGCTCACTTACACACTCGAGAGATGCACTGTAATAAAGAAGTTCACGCGACGTGTACGCGCGGTTAGCCACCACTACATCACGCACAGATGGGTGACCGACAGTTAGCGTGCCAGTCTTGTCGAACACGATAGTATCGATGTAGCGAGCGGTTTCGAGAGCAAGTCCGCCCTTGATGAGGACACCCTGCTTGGCCCCAACACCACAACCGACCATGACGGCCGTGGGCGTCGCGAGCCCTAAAGCGCACGGACACGCGATCACCATGACTGAGATAGCAAACATTACTGCTATGTATATATCATTTGAATGACCCGCCAACGCATCTGCCCCAAGCTCCACTTTCCATTCCACAGGAACAAGGTTCAACGAAAGAAGAGTGGCCCACGAGATAAAGGTCATCACCGATATACCCAGAACGCACGGGGCAAAAATTGATGCCAACCAGTCTGCGTACGCCTGGATCGGAGCTTTGTGAAGCTGCGCATCTTCAATCAAAGCGCAGATCTGCGACAAAGCCGAGCTCTCACCGCCCATGCAGCTCGACTCAATTACCAGCGTACCCTGCTGGTTCATCGTCGACCCAAACACGTAGTCACCCTCCTTCTTAGCCACCGGCATACTCTCACCCGTCAACATTGACTCATTTATCGAGCTCGACCCGGACTTGACCACGCCATCCGTCGGGATATTTGCACCAGGAAGAATGCGTAGCAGGTCTCCGCGCTGCACTAGCTCGATCGAGATCTCGCGATCACGCTTGCCCTCACTGACCAGTAACGCCGTCTTTGGCTGCAACTTGGCCAGCTCCGACAATGCGTCAGCCGTTTTGCCCTTTGCCACCGACTCCATATACTTGCCCAGCGTCACAAATGTCAGCAACATTGCCGACGACTCGAAAAAGTGGTGACCGTGGTACTTCTCGTGCAGCGCCGAACCGATCATCGCCACAAAACTGTAAGTGTACGACATGGTAGTGCCCGCTACAACCAGAAAGTCCATGCCCATGGCACCATGTTGTAGACCCTTCCACGCCGCCACGTAGAATCGCCGACCTACTCCAAACTGCACTGGCGTCGCCAGCAAAAACAATAGCAGCAGCTTTAGTGACACGGCGTTGAGTACGGGCTTCATTAAAACCATTTCCACTGCAGGAATATACATGAGCACCATGTGGATGAGCATAGCAGGCAACGAGAAGATCATGGCCGTGGTCAGTAGCTTGCGCCACTTCTCCACCTCCGACTTGCTCAGCGCGTTCTGATCCGTGGTCTCCGACGATATCTCAGCCGAGTAACCCAGGCTGTTGATGCACTCCAGCACGTCGCGTGGACCCGTCTTGGACAGCTGCTTCAGATGCACGTGCGCCTTGTTCATAAGCAGATTGACCAGCACCTTTGTCACACCAGGCAGTTCGCCCACTGCTGACTCGATCTTGCTCATACACGCAGCGCAGCTCATGCCCATGACTGTGAACTTGAGCTCGAGCGAGTCGTCGTCGCCCGGCTCCACCACGTGCGAAAACGTCGCCTTGTAGCCGGCGGCCTCAATGAGTTTCCTGATCTCTGTATGCTCGTCCTCGATCAAGCCGCGGTCGAACAACACCTCGGCCTTCTGGCTAATGAGCCCCACACGACAGTACAGTACGCCCTCTGTCTTGCCCACATAGTCCTCGATGGCTTTCACACACGCGGCACAGCTCATGCCTTCGACGTGGAACACGGCACGTGGGTGACCGGATGCATCTACTACGTCAACCACCAGCTCTTTCTCTTCCTTCTTCTGCTTTTGCTTTTGCATCTGAAGCTTCATGACTGCAGCCTTTGCAGCGTCATACGCACTGGCCTCAAAGCCCACACACTCCACCATATCCATCAGCTGCTCTAACGTCGTGCTCCCGGCGTCTAACAGCGTCACTGTGGCCTTGCACTCGTCAAAGCTGACGACAGCGTCGGCCACACCGTCCACGCCTCGCAGCGCGTTCTCAACCGTAGAGCCGCAATTCTTTTGACACATCATGCCTTTCACCAGGAGCTGAAGCGTCAGTGGGTCATGTGTCGTATTTCTATCGTCATCTGACGCTTTTATGGCCGCTCCAAAGCCCACGGACTCAATAGCTTCTAATAAATCATGTGCTGCTACTCCCGAGGCACACTCGACACGAACGCTATGCTGCTCAACGTCAACGACGGCTGAGATTACACCATCGACACTTTGGAGAGCACTTTGCACCGTGTTGCCACAATTTTTCATGCACCTCATACCTTCGACCACAAGCTCCAGTACCTCGTGGGACTGGGAAGCTAATGCCACCATCTCGAGTCAATTTGATTATGTAGAAGTCAGTGAAAAGTTCAGTGAGAGACTGGCTGGCGGTTTTATGCCACCAGCTGGGTTACAAAAGGACTGGGGGTTATGGGCCGACCAGTCAGCGAATGACCAGACGCTTGAAAAAGCAGGAGACACAATAAAGTGAGCGATATCTTAAGGACGGATGTCATGTGTTGTCTATCGATCAACTGTATGTAAGCAGGAGCCCTTTTTTTACCAGTTAAAATGTTGCACATAATGATTACAGATCGTTTTATGGAATCTAGTGATCATCTTTCGTGCCCAAATGACACTTAGCAATTAGCTTGGCCAATTTCATTATGTCGTAGCGTCGCACCACATCTACAACCTCGTTTTTGAATGGTGCGTTGTCTTCAAACGAACTTTTTTAATGTGCGTGAAGGTCGTGGTGCTTAGTGGCAACAACATTTAGAACTTGCAGACGCCTACCGAATAGCAGCGTGATTGTCCTACAACAAGTTCAAGAGCTTTTGTGATACAACAATTACTCCCGTAGCAGATCCGTGGCAATTTACTCGGCACTTTTCGTGAATGTCACTGTTGCATTTAACGAAATCGAGGTGCTGGGTGTATAATCTAATCTGTTCGATTAACACTACACGTATTAAGTAGCAGTGGTAGAATCGCACTCACTCGAGATCTGTGACCACATTGCGTCCGATGCCAAGAGCGACGACTCCATGCTAATTGCGCGCGGCTTATGTTCTGGATCCCGACAGCTCAATGTATTTGTCGTTTGAGATGCGGCGCACTTCGCAGCCATTTGAGCATTCAAAAGCGCCAGCGTCTGCGCTTGAAGTGCCCGTTGACGTTTTTTTCGAGCTTTCTTGTCTTTTCGGTTCTTGTCTCGCTTTGCGCTAGCCAAATTTGAATTTTCAACAATCCTCGCTGCTGTGCAAGGAGCGTCTTGCTTGGTTTTGCGGCGCTTTTTGGATTTAGGTAGATCGGATGCTGAATGTAATGACTTGGTGGAGCTGATACTGCTTATTCCCGAGAGCGACCGTTTCTTCTTACCTTGCACGATCGGCTCGTCAGCAGCTTCATCAAAGCCGCAATGCTTCACGTGGTGTTCCATCCCCTTTTCCGTCTCAAGTTTCTTACCGTCGCATACTGCACAGATCATCAGCTTGTGTACCTCCGTCAGACAGAGCTGACGATGCTGCTTTAGTGCATTTTTCGTCTCAAATACCTCGAAGCAAAGCGAGCACTTTAATGCGGGAGGAAGATTCACATCGAGCACATTCGTCACATCACTCAACCGGAAGCTCTTTGTCATTGCTATGCACTGCCTCTGGATACGCAGCAGCAGCTCATCATACAAGTGGAGCAGCACCAGAGCGTCCGCCGCCGCATAATGAAGCTGGCCAACAGTCAACGGTCTCCGCTCCCAGTTGGATAGTTGCTGCGTCTTTGCAAGCTTGCGGTGCAGATAGAAGAATACGAGTTTCTGCAGACTAATCGGATTGTGCGCTCCCGCTAGCGAGATGGACAAGTCGTTCACTTCCACGACGCCCTTACAGACCTGAAAGCAAGACGCATGAGGATACGACTGCGCGAGTTCTTGCAGATCCTGGTAGAAGCTCTGGCCAAGCTTAATGATCTTCTTGGACATAAAGACGTTCGTGAGTGTTCCATTGTACGTGGTGACGCGCAGGTTCAGCAGGTCGAGGATGAAGACCTCCTCCTTTTTCTGAGCGTCACGCACTGCGATCTGAAGTAGCGCACATTGTTTCTTTTTCTTTTGTCTGCCCCATGTTGGTCGTGTCTCCTACAAAGAACAAGGCAGCGTTAGAAACGAAAGTGTTGAATAGTTATCTAATGGCACGCACCGTGTCCAATCCCATTAGCTGTGCATTAAGCAAACGACCAGCACAATAGACCCAGTCTTTCTTCGTCGATACAAAATGAATGGGTACACTTGAACGGTCGATTATATACTGTGGAGATTGGTTGATGTGTCTTGTCAGTTGCATCTTCATTGACACCATCATGACGAACGTCTTGAAACGACACAGCGTTTCACTGGACGCGGCCGACTGACACCGTTAGAGCACTTTATAAGAGACATGCTATAAAATACAGACACCTCTATTATAATTAGCGTTAAAAATATGGACATCTTATGGAATTTAGTATATGGTCCATCCTCGAATGTGTACAGAAACGTCGTGGATCAGATACCTGTTAAGATTCTTAAATCGCCGACTTTAATTTAGCTTATAGTATTCAAATAGATATAATGTAGCAAAACGACCATATGAATCTAGTGATGTTGGTAGCCATCTATCTGTCAATGCGAACCACATGCACTTCAACTTACCTTTGCTCAAATGTATGATGTCAACTGACTGACGCGGTTAACTGTCATATACCACTGACCAATAGAATGTCCAATATCGTGCTCGTTCCAGTTGAGAGCACATAAGAAATAGACGGAATCGCAAGCAATGACCGTTAACAATCGGAGTGACCATGACCCACTGACGCTTCAGCTCCTGGTGAAAGGCATGATGTGTCAAAAGAATTGCGGCTCTACGGTTGAGAACGCGCTGCGAGGCGTGGACGGTGTGGCCGACGCTGTCGTCAGCTTTGACGAGTGCAAGGCCACAGTGACGCTGTTAGACGCCGGGAGCACGACGTTAGAGCAGCTGATGGATATGGTGGAGTGTGTGGGCTTTGAGGCCAGTGCGTATGACGCTGCAAAGGCTGCAGTCATGAAGCTTCAGATGCAAAAGCAAAAGCAGAAGAAGGAAGAGAAAGAGCTGGTGGTTGACGTAGTAGATGCATCCGGTCACCCACGTGCCGTGTTCCACGTCGAAGGCATGAGCTGTGCCGCGTGTGTGAAAGCCATCGAGGACTATGTGGGCAAGACAGAGGGCGTACTGTACTGTCGTGTGGGGCTCATTAGCCAGAAGGCCGACGTGTTGTTCGACCGCGACTTGATCGAGGACGAGCATACAGAGATCAGGAAACTCATTGAGGCCGCCGGCTACAAGGCGACGTTTTCGCACGTGGTGGAGCCGGGCGACGACGACTCGCTCGAGCTCAAGTTCACAGTCATGGGCATGAGCTGCGCTGCGTGTATGAGCAAGATCGAGTCAGCAGTGGGCCAACTGCCTGGTGTGACAAAGGTGCTGGTCAATCTGCCCATGAACAAGGCGCACGTGCATCTGAAGCAGCTGTCCAAGACGGGTCCACGCGACGTGCTGGAGTGCATCAACAGCCTGGATTACTCGGCTGAGATATCGTCGGAGACCACGGACCAGAACGCGCTGAGCAAGTCGGAGGTGGAGAAGTGGCGCAAGCTACTGACCACGGCCATGATCTTCTCGTTGCCTGCTATGCTCATCCACATGGTGCTCATGTATATTCCTGCAGTGGAAATGGTTTTAATGAAGCCCGTACTCAACGCCGTGTCACTAAAGCTGCTGCTATTGTTTTTGCTGGCGACGCCAGTGCAGTTTGGAGTAGGTCGGCGATTCTACGTGGCGGCGTGGAAGGGTCTACAACATGGTGCCATGGGCATGGACTTTCTGGTTGTAGCGGGCACTACCATGTCGTACACTTACAGTTTTGTGGCGATGATCGGTTCGGCGCTGCACGAGAAGTACCACGGTCACCACTTTTTCGAGTCGTCGGCAATGTTGCTGACATTTGTGACGCTGGGCAAGTATATGGAGTCGGTGGCAAAGGGCAAAACGGCTGACGCATTGTCGGAGCTGGCCAAGTTGCAGCCAAAGACGGCGTTACTGGTCAGTGAGGGCAAGCGTGATCGCGAGATCTCGATCGAGCTAGTGCAGCGCGGAGACCTGCTACGCATTCTTCCTGGTGCAAATATCCCGACGGATGGCGTGGTCAAGTCCGGGTCGAGCTCGATAAATGAGTCAATGTTGACGGGTGAGAGTATGCCGGTGGCTAAGAAGGAGGGTGACTACGTGTTTGGGTCGACGATGAACCAGCAGGGTACGCTGGTAATTGAGTCGAGCTGCATGGGCGGTGAGAGCTCGGCTTTGTCGCAGATCTGCGCTTTGATTGAAGATGCGCAGCTTCACAAAGCTCCGATCCAGGCGTACGCAGACTGGTTGGCATCAATTTTTGCCCCGTGCGTTCTGGGTATATCGGTGATGACCTTTATCTCGTGGGCCACTCTTCTTTCGTTGAACCTTGTTCCTGTGGAATGGAAAGTGGAGCTTGGGGCAGATGCGTTGGCGGGTCATTCAAATGATATATACATAGCAGTAATGTTTGCTATCTCAGTCATGGTGATCGCGTGTCCGTGCGCTTTAGGGCTTGCGACGCCCACGGCCGTCATGGTCGGTTGTGGTGTTGGGGCCAAGCAGGGTGTCCTCATCAAGGGCGGACTTGCTCTCGAAACCGCTCGCTACATCGATACTATCGTGTTCGACAAGACTGGCACGCTAACTGTCGGTCACCCATCTGTGCGTGATGTAGTGGTGGCTAACCGCGCGTACACGTCGCGTGAACTTCTTTATTACAGTGCATCTCTCGAGTGTGTAAGTGAGCACGTTCTTGGTAAAGCTATCGTGGTTGCAGCAGCAGAGCATGAAAAGCTAGAACTGCATGACCCGACCGAGGTGCATGTGGTCCCTGGACGCGGAATTGAGGGCGTTATACCTGCGAGTGATGCCACTGCTCGGAACACTCCCGTAAACGTGTTAGTTGGAAATTCTGAGTATTGCGAGGAAAAAAACATTGAGATCAGCCAGAAGATACGTGCTCACATGCACGAGCTGGAGCTGGAGGGCAAGACCGTGGTGGTCGTGTGTATCGAGGGCAAGCTGGCAGGCATGCTTGCGTTGGCGGACGCTCCCAGACCTGAAGCAGCAGCCGTCGTGAAGCATCTAAAGTCCATGGGCTTGGATGTGTGGCTTATCACGGGTGACAATCTATGCACGGCCAGTGCGATCGCGCGCCAGATGGGAATCAACCACGTCAAGGCAGTTGCTCTACCTGGTGAGAAGGCGTCTCAGATCAAGGCGCTGCAGTCGCAAGTGAACCCACTGACGCAGAAGCCTCGCATGGTTTGTATGGTTGGTGATGGTATTAACGACGCACCAGCGCTGGCGCAGTCGGACATCGGCATGGCTATCGGTGCTGGCACGCAGATCGCCAAGGCTGAGGCTGACATGGTCCTGGTGAAAAGCGCTCTGACGGATGTGGTGGTGGCGCTGGATTTGGCTCGTGTGGTGTTCTCTCGCATCAAGTTGAACTTTTTCTTGTCGGTCGTGTACAACTTGATTGGCATTCCGCTGGCTGCTGGTATTTTCTTTCCGCTGATCCATCAAACGATGCCGCCTGCGTACGCTGGGCTCGCAATGGCTTTCTCTTCGGTATCTGTTGTTATTTCATCGCTGATGCTGAAGAAGTACAAGGCGCCGGTTGTTTGTAAGACTGAAATGAAGCACCGCTTCAAGGATGATGCAAAGGTTATAGAGTTCAGAAATATGGTGCGGCAAAACCTCGGCCAACTACACAAGACGTACGAACCTCTGACCAATTCGGATGAGGTAAGGCTACTCTGTTTATGGGCATTTAGGTTAAGACATTGTCATTTACTTGCAGTTGTGAATGTCTCGTTGCAGTGGGATGAGTAAAAGACTGCCTTTCAACGTGTATCCGTGTGTAGATGTAAGCAATATCAGTAAGTATGAATTAATATCTCAAGTTGTGTCAGCATTTACTGGTTATCGCTGTCTTATGTTGACAAATGAATTCTTCTAGCATGATCTGCTATCGAGGTTGCCACAAATATATCATTTAAAATGGCTTTTTACATGCTTGCGCATTGAAGTCATGACCCTGGCAATGCCAAGTGATGGCATCGTAAATATAAAGTCTCACAAAAGTTGCAATGATCGTGTTTTTCTGTATGGCATACCAACGTAAAGATACGTTCTTCAGTCGCTGCTGCTCCAAGTGACTACAGCCTGCATGCAAAAGCTTCTATAGAGATCTAGATGTCCCAGGTAAGGTTGAGAGATCGGTCAATTTCTGCAACTTGCTCTTTCGCCGGGAAATGGGCATGGTTGATACCCATGAGGTGCTGCAAAGTACGAACGACTTGGCAACTGTAGCCGAACTCATTGTCATACCAGACGTAGAGAATGACCTTGGTGCCATCCACGATAGTCGCCTTGCCGTCCACAGTACCAGCGGCACGACTGCCAATGAAATCCGAAGAGGCAACTTCAGCTGAGTTAACGAAATCAATCTGGTTCTGTAGTGGAGAATCCAGCGACACCCTATGCATGAACGAGTTGATTGCCTCCTTGGTGATACCCTCCGCCTTGGTCGGGTCCAGCTGCACGTTTAGAATAGCCAGTGACACATTCGGTGTGGGGACGCGGATAGCATTGGCAGTTAGCTTGTCCTTGAGTGAGGGGAGGCACTTGACCACAGCAGCAGCTGCACCCGTCTCCGTGATGACCATGTTGAGCACAGCACTACGTCCACGACGCTCCTTCATGTGGTAGTTATCGATCAGATTCTGGTCGTTTGTGAATGAGTGCACCGTCTCAATGTGGCCGCCAACGATACCGAACTTCTTATCCAGAGCAAACAGTGGCGGCGCAATTGCGTTTGTTGTGCACGACGCCGCCGAGAAGATATTGTCTGTACTTGCGATCATGTGTTCATTCACGCCAGCTACGATAGTAGGCACAGTGCCCTTTGCAGGTGCAGTCAGAATGACCTTAGATACACCAGGGGACTTGAGATGTAGTCCCAGTGCATCGGCATCACGCCAACGTCCAGTATTGTCAATGACCACAGCATTATTAATGCCGTACTTGGTATAGTCACACTTGTCTGGTCCATCCGAGTAGATGATCTGAATGAGGTTGCCATTTGCAATGATGGCATTGGCTTCCTCATTAAAAGTGATACTACCATGAAACGGACCATGCACCGAGTCACGACGCAATAGACTGGCGCGTTTCATGAGGTCCTCCTTCGTTCCCTTGCGTACCACAATGGCACGTAGCATGAGTTTTACACCAGGTCCGCTCTTTTCAATAAGCAAACGTGCCAGTAGGCGACCAATGCGGCCAAAGCCATAGAGAATTACATCACTAGGTGTAAAGGCCGGCGCTGAGGCGAACGAAGCCATCTTGTCGTTCAGTAGCTCGCCCAGCTCACGCACTTTGGCATCACGTGCATCGGACGTAAGTTGTGCCTGCACGTCTCGCACCTCTTTCTCCATAAAGACAAAGGTGCGGCCCAGATCGATGCGCATGCCACGCGCATTGGGCGCGTAATGCACGAGCGCCAATAGCACCACGAGTGTCTCAGTGGGCTGCATGTGCTGGCCCACGTACTTGCAGACAAAATTGTGCAGCTTGATGAGATCAATACTGTTTTTGTGTACGAGGCCCTTGCCAAAGATCACGCTCACCACGTTGTTCTCACGGTAGAGACGCCCAATGAGCGGCACCATGAGATCGGCAGCGTTTTCCTGTGTTTTCCATTGCTCCAGCTCTGAATCACGCAACGTATTGATCTGCGTGCTGCTTAGAGACGGCTCAGACATGTGAGAAAAAGGTGGCAAAGGGAGCGGACGTCGAATGCGGAATGAAGTTGATACTATTTGACATAACGAACCTGCAGAAGGTGATAATTACCATTAGGGAAGCGTTAGATATCGTTAATTAGCCCACATTCCTAAATCTGATTGTCAAATGAGTGCATTGTGGTTTTTATGGGTAAAGTATCCGTTAGTATCGACGACCTCTTTCTACTTTTAAAAGAGCCAACAATCATTCCTATTAATTAGATTTGGACAAATTTAAAATGTGCACCATTTAAAGCGTGGGGACTTCTTAGTAGTAGCAAGCAATATGAATACGTCACGAACGCATTGTCGACGGAAAGTTGTACGTGGAACGCATCCCCGGACGTTTTACAAGTATCTCTTGCGATTGGATCACTAGTGGAATGACATTTATCAGCCGCAGTGGTAGAGATGCGTAATGATACTCAAGTGATAACAGTCGACACGTTGAGCGCCCATGAAGACTGGATTTCCTTGGTTTGTTGAAACGCCAATAAGTAGATAGTGAAAAAAAGCATATTCACTGGCCCTTTCAACTCGCACTCAGGGTCAGACAATGTCCTATCTCTCTTTGAAGCCGGACAAACAATCTTTTTTGTCTCGGCTCCTTGGGATATCGTTAAATGCTTGAGCTCACCTTTTTTTTCTTGCGGTAATCAATGGGTGGTACGAATGAGGCATCCTGATAACGTGAGTTCGTACCACAAAAAAGATTGTGGGGATCACTGGAGACGGACTATAGCGCCTCGCATTGTGCGCAAACCACACTTGGTCTGACTTAGCAATCATTCTCGAATTTGCCTTCGAACCATCACCACCAAGACTCTCACGTCCCCAAGATGGTTCAAAACTCATCCCGCGACTTTGACATTGCCATTATTGGTGGGGGTATTGCTGGTGCGACTCTTGCTGTCGGTCTGGTGCGTGCCAATATCCCTGTGACGCTGTACGAATCGGCCATGGCGCTTGGTGAAATAGGTGCCGGTGTCGCCCTTGGCGCCAACGCTTCTCGCGCATTGGAACTCCTAGCGCCGGACGCCAAACGCGCCTTTGACCGCGTTAGCACGTTCAACCATTCCTCGGCAAAGAAGAACGTGTGGTTTGACTTTTACAAGGGCGTCGAGACCCCAAGCAGCGACATCAACGAAGGCGTCGGCGACTTCATAACGACCGTCGAGACGCCTGCCGGATCGGCCTACGTGCACCGTGCTCGGTTCGTCGACGAGATGGTCGAACTCATCCCGGAGGGTGTCATTGAACTCAACAAGCGTGTGTACGATATCGAAACGCTTTCTGACGGTAACGTCAAGCTCAAATTCGTGGACGGCTCCGAGGCTGTGCACAGCGCCGTGGTCGGCTGCGATGGCATCAAGTCGCGGACACGCAAGGTGATTCTTGGCGAGAACGACCCCGCTGCCAACGCCGTCTTCGCGGGAAAGTACGTCTACCGTGGATTGGTTCCGATGGAGAAGGCCGTCGCTCTGCTAGGCGACGAAATGGCTCGCAATAGCCAAATGTATTTGGGCTACCACGGCCACGTAATTACCTTTCCTATCCAACACGGCCGTGTCATGAACGTAGTCGCGTTCGCCAGCAAGAAGGAGTGGAAGGATCAGAAGTGGGTCGTGCCCACAACAAAAGAGGCACTAACCAAGGACTTTGCGGGGTTTTCTAAGCACGTCCGTGACATCATTTCCATGATGGAAAACACCGATATCTGGGCGCTTTTCCACCACCTGCCCGCTCGCACGTACTCGCGCGGCAAAATGCTCCTGATCGGTGATGCGGCTCACGCCACGACGCCGCATAACGGAGCGGGTGCAGCCATGGCTATCGAGGATGCCTACGTGCTGTCGTCGCTCTTGACTGACGTCGAACACGCGTCCGATCTTGAGGCTGCCTTTCACGCATTTGAAAAGGTGCGTCTCTATCGCACCGCGAAAGTGGTGGTCGAGAGTTACGAAGCGGGTCAGCTCTACGACTTTGAGCTGCCTGGCTGCGGGGACGACCTGAAAAAAATTACAAAAGCCCTGCAGAAGCGTATGCGATGGATCTGGGAGGAAGACCTGGAACAGGAGGTGATAGATGCCAAAGCGTTTTTCCGCATGGCAACCAAGCAGTAGCGTAAACTGTAAGATTGAGTGGCATGACTATATACCGAACTGTCGTTCACTATCCAAGGATTCGGATCTCACCTGTAAGTCGCCCAAAAATCATTCTACTCCTAGATGTACAAGTGTGGAAGAGTCGGGATGTCTTCCTAATATTTGAGAAATAAAACCTGGTCCGACCTGGTGGTGTGTCACAAGGTGCTTCATATATCGTACACGGTGCTGTTTGATGATGGTCCATTCTTCTTGCTTCGGTGCAATTCACTTGCTGACGTCCATTCTGATTTTTGGTTCTAGAGCCATTTAGCTTGCTGTTTCCAGCCCAGGTCAGAAGGGGTCGGTTGACCGGCTCTTTGGAGGTCTTCGTCTCATGATCGTTGTTGCTCGAAGGCGCGAATTGGGAAGTGCGGGGTACCAAGTATGACCCAGCGTGGACATTCCAAGATATATAGGAATTGGAGCATATCACCGGCACTATCCAAAACTGGAAGAGAACTCCCTCCAACGGGAGGCCTAGGATCCAGAGGGGGAGGTTTTTCCTCTGCTGCGTGCGCTATGGGGGGGGGCAAGCGCAGCGTGTAAACCGTAAGGGGAGCACCAACCGTGTCACCCCCGGGGGTAGAGGAACGACGACCGCGGTTATCATTCCCTCCTTTCCCGATAGTTCCTGCTATTCTACGTCAGCCTTTCCGAGCGCAAATCCCCGTCCAACGAAGCGAACTTGCCTAGAACGTGACTTGATCGCGGTGCGTCTGAGGCCCATCGGATATGATACGGTGCGCACTTTTTGCCACTCCGGAGCCCTGTCTGCTCCTGTGCTAAGTATCCGATTTCACGTCTCCTCTGCGTTTGCCCAGCCGACTGAGTTAACGAGGAGAAGTCTGCTATAGTTTGGTGGAAGCATATTGATATCGTGTAGTCATAAGTACTTGATCGACGTTTTGAATTTCTCTCACGCATAAACGCTCTTCAATCATTGCTCTTCCGAACAATAAAGACCTCTTGTGATAGCTTGTCAAGGACTTAATGGCCGTGAATGTGAAAGAGCTCGAGGAGATTTCTTTCTGACAACATGGAGTGCCTCTTCAACATTAGTGGGAATCTGTGCGTCGTGTCAAACAGGTCAAAAGGTCTGATGCCGTCGCGATAAAACGAAGTCGTAGCTTTGGAGTGCACTTTCGATCGAAGACTGAAGTTTGTCCTAATCAAGTCGGATACCTCAATCATCGTGCGAGGAGGTCATAGCTGGCGAGTAGCCGGATTGAGCTGCCAAAGCAATGTTGTTTTCATGTCTTGCATGTGGTTTGGTAGCTAATAGATAGCGGGGATACATACACCTTTACCAACCATCACGCTTGTGCCTATTGTGGTTTTACTTTCTAATCAACTGATATGTTTACGCTTGCTTGGAGTGAATGCTACCCAAGCAGGACAATGATCCGATAGTTCGTAGCCGCACTGGACCCGCGACATATACGTTTGTAACCGGGGAAGCATCGCATCCATCGGGTTTTGAATGGAAGCACGACTGCTTTTTGAACACGGATAGTATCGCCAGTCTACACGAAGAACTCCGCTGTTCACAAAGTACTCACTCTCCTCATCGAACCCGTTTCGACTGCTGAAGTCTTCGCGGGCGAGCCAAATGTTGTCATAAAGTTTACCGAACACAGTTGTCGTAAGGGGCGAACGGATTAAAGCCATCTTGTGCGATCCAAGACTCCCCAATACGTCTTGCGGCGACAAGTTGAAGTCTCCTAGCACCACCACCTTCCTTCCATTTGGAGGAGATGGGCTTATCTCATTTGCCAACCGATTAATCTCCACGACTTCATCATGACGACGTTCTTTCTCACCAAAAGTCACGTGTACGTTCATCAACGTAAGCTTCAAGTTCGATACCCCTGACTCTTTCGTCGCTCGAAAAGTGGCAACACACGGTAGCCTTGTAAACACGTTGTTTCTATCTTCCATCAGCGCGCATTTGTCAACGAGTCGAACGACACAACGTCTGTAAAAGAAGGCATACCGCTCAGTCCTCAATTTCATCCCCGGTGACTTGCGCCCTACAGGATCCGACACAATATATCCCCATCCGGGCAGCATTGTCTTCAACCTCTTGAGAACAATCAAGTCTCGCACCTCCTGCAATGCGACAAGGTCGAACTCACTCAAAACATCAGCAATACGCTGCAGGAGAAATGTCTCCTTTCGTCGGGAAATGTTGCGAATGTTCCAGCTTGCCACAATTAATGCTCGATCGTCACTGCCGTCGTGGTTCGGTATCGGGAACACGCTTCGACGAACGTCCCTTTCAATCTCCCGGCAAAATCGAAAGTTCTGCTCGTAGTCACGGTCAAGCTCCTCGCAATTCTCCCTATAGCCTTCATGCTGTAGTAAGCCTGAGTCTTTCTGTCTCACATGAGCACCAGCTTGTAATTTCACGTAAGCTTTGGAACTAATGCCTTTTACGGCCAGCAGATCTTCCTTCCGATGAAACGGTCTCGCTTCAATAATCCGTTGCGCCAAGACTGGACCGACCCCTTTAAGCTGCTGTAATTGTTTGTTAGACGCAGCGTTCAGGTCGATTTGTACGGCATTTGTCTTGAATTTCAATGTCTCGAAAGGATTTTCGTCCACGTAAACTTGCCTATGTGCTGTAATAGCTGCGAGTTTGACAGGACCAATACCTTTTACACGCAGCAAATCCTCTACCGATGAAAAGGGACGACACTCAATGATCAAACGCGCGGTTACACTGCCTACACCTGGCAACTTTTGCAGGTCACAAGGTGATGCTGAGTTTAAATCCATCGAAGAGCTGCAACTTTTGACGTTTTTGCACGCTTCCAGCAGCAAGTGATTTGTACGCATGGAAAAAAAATGTCCGCACACACGTTTCTAAAACATTTATTTTACATGATGAAATCATAGAGAATTCACGTCAAGAGACTCCATTACTTGTCCATGCTTGATACAGCGTATTTTATTACCATGGACAAAAGGGACTTGGTCGACAAGTACCAAATGGTAGCCATTGCTTTCAGTCTCCAAAGCGAGAGACTGGGGGCCTTTCCGTTTCTGCCACTTTCATGATGGAGATCCACTCGCTCGCACTTTCTTGCTCAAGTGACGTTAACGGTCAAGTCTCATGTCCTCTTCATTTTCAAAAACTGCCTCTGAACGAGGTGTCAGTCTTGACTCCATGCCTTTTTCCTCCGTGTCCCCGATATCACCCGCCAGTACTTTGTCGTCACCACCACCAGCCGAACAAGTATCGACAGGACGAAAAATGACGAGCTTAATGTCTACTGCGGTGGTTGACAGTATACCAACTTTAATAGAGAATGGAGACAGCGGACATGATATGGAGAATGACGACGTGGCGGCATTTAGTGCTCAGGCTGTAGTGAATGGAGACAGCGGACATCATACAGAGAATGGCGACGTGGCGGCATTTAGTGCCCAGGCTGTAGGGAATGGAGACAGTGGACATGATATGAAGAATGACGACGTGGCGGCATTTAGTGCCCAGGCTGTAGGGAATGGAGACAGTGGACATCATACGGAGAATGGCGACATGGCGGCATTTAGTGCCCAGGCTGTAGGGAATGGAGACAGTGAATCAAGCTTTTGGGATATCATTGCCGATTCTCACATGAAACTAGAAAGCTACAATGATCAACCCTATGACCAGGAAATGAGTGAACCAATATCGAACTTCATGCCCTCAGCCGCTGCTATTATGTCGGCATCAATGAACTTGGCGCACTCATCCGTTCCATCGACAAATCTTGCGGTGTATGAAGAGTACGTACTCTTTTTTTTCATTGTTTTGATGCTGCAGACTTTTAACATGCTCTCTATTCTAGTTTTGGGACGTTGCCATCGTCACCTCTGCTGATAGGCAACCATCAACTGTTTTCCGGACTTGATCCCAGCCATTTCGTCAACTTCGGGTCTCGTCCGGACGGCGCTTCTTTCCGTACGAAGCCTGCCATCGATTCTATTTTGTATCGACTAATGCTTTTGCCGTTCTGTGCAGTGCTCTCAAAGCCCATTGTTCGTGAAGACGGTCTTTTACTCGTGGGCACAGAAGCCGTTGTGGATCTTTCACATTCATTCGGCGACAAAAACAGAATATTCGTGACAAACTTTCTCAACTCACCTGGAAGTGCACAACCACCAGCCCACATTCTGGTGGAACGGGTATGTGCTTGCGCCTTAGCGATGGCTCAAAATCTGAGAGGTGTGCACTCAATATGCTCTGTATTCAACAGGAGGTTCGAGATATACAATGGATGGGCGCCCAAGCTGCCATTCTGGCGATCGGCAAAGAGATCCAACTCATCCACTTAGGCAGTGAATCCTGCCGACTGCAAAGTAGGTATTGTTGAACTCACGTCAAATGCTCAACAATCTCACAAACCACTTTTCACATGCAGATCCAATTAATTCCGTGCACTCGGGTACTATACGAGAGCTAGCTGTTTCGCCTACCAAGAGCTCATACGTGCTGTCTGGTGGTAAGTGTGCTGGTTTTCTTTCTTGTCGATATCGGTCTCGCTGACGATATCTGACGTTGCATGAAACTTCACCAGGTTTCGACGAGACTGTCGTGTTGACGGATCTCCGGAATCACGGAGACCCTCAAGCGGCAGCAATCATTGGCAAATTCGATGCTAGTGACGTGGTGAGCAGCGTACGCTGGGCACCATCGGATTTTCAATTGAGCTGGACCACTGATGGAGGCGATTTTCAAGTCGTAGACACCCGCGTTCGATCACCACAGCTGCAACTACCTCTCTACAAGTTTCAGGTAAATGGCTTGCTTATAAGTTCGATCACATAAGCTGATTTTTCGTGCTGATTTGGCTTGTTGGGCTAATGCTATGTAGAACCTGGCTGCTTTTGGTGGCCTCTTCACACACGAATACTTGAGCAGCTTCAACATCGCCCTCGGGTTCGAGCGAGGTCACATCGCCTTTGTGGATATCCGCATGCCTCGTCAACATTCTTGGTACGGACTTTGCATGGCGTGACCATAGTAACGCGACTAACCTTGTTTATTACGATATTCCAGCACCTCGACGATCGAGTCAAAGTTGACAAGCACTGGTGAAATCCGACGTTCCAAGACTGACAAAATCGCGATATTTGGTCGTGGCGGGTACGACTTGTCCAGACAATCAATCGTCTGATGTTTAATCACGTACAAGTACTGACTCCGACGTGTTGCCAGTTTCTCCACCGCCAATATCGATGGAACAGCTAATACCTTGGAGCAGATTACCCTGTACGTTCAATCACCTTACTTTGTGTCCGCGATGTGTGCTCAACTGGCTTGTGTTAAACGACTGCAGGCAACAGCAACGCACCCTTCCTTCGTACAAAACAAGCGGCGGATTTTCCTATGAAAGAGGAGTGTATTTGGCTGTCTCTGACAAGTACGTGGCGTCAGACACTAATTGAGGTGTGCGTTAAAGGTGTACTGACCGATCTTCTGCAATTTGACGATACTAGCATGAGCATTGTATCAGTGTACACGGATGACACCATCTTCGGGTCATCGCCTCCATTTATTGACAGCTGTGGTGTCTGGTGAAGCGCATGTGATCAAGTGTGGAATGATGAACAAAAGTAGTTGCCATTTACATTGGCATAAAAACTCTAGTAGTGTTGCATGCGCGAGATCTCCTGAAGTAGTTTCGTCAGGTTGCTCTTCGGCTTTAGATTAATAAAGCTGTCAAAGTGGGACCACGAGTAGCCATCCGTGTGCGCTACGTCACTCGTAGTGCCTGAAGAATAGAGAGTGCGTGTCAGTGCAATCGCATGACAACGAGCAACATGAACCTCATGTAATACCTGGATTCATAGCAAGCTGGACACGTCCAAGAGCGTTGCACTCATACCACTCCGTTTCCGTGCTTCGCGACTTATTGGACAATCCAATCATGGTGCTTGCCAGCTGCGTCCGCAAAACAGGGGACTGTAGAGCTTGCGCAAATTTTATGCGGGTCGGTCGCATAAGCTCGGCAAGACCGGCCTGAATGCGCTGAAGTGCGTTTATTTGCTGATCGGTGCAAAGGTACAGCATCTCGATCAGACGAACAACTGCTAGGCAGGTTTGTTCGCCCTCCTGTTGAAGAAACAGGCTGGTCTCACTGTTTTCGGCGATGTTAACTTTCTTCATTGTTTTGTCTTCATCGTCGAATACACGTTTCCAAAGCTGCACTCCCCAACCAATAGCGAGGAAAATAAGCTTGTTGTTTCGCAGCTTGGTGGACGTAGCACGCGACTTTGCACGCGCCTTTGCAGAGTTTGACGCAACCGCATCGTTCTGTAACAGGGAAAATAACCGCGTACGGTGCACCCACGCCCCCTGTTCCAAACGTTCATATCGCGAGCGACACGTATACATATCTTGCTGGAAGCAGTACACAAAGAACTGTACTACGAGCAAATTGCGACGCCAGCTCTCGTTCTTCTTAAACTTTCCATCTTCCCCGACACGCCCATTCCCGCTAACTTCCTGCAGTGCCGTCGCCAATGGCTCCCACTTGTTCGGGAACGTCACGGCACAACTGCATGCCAATGCTTTGTCAAACACAAACACCAGCGCTGCATAGATTGCCACTGCGTCCTTGTACGCAACAGCTTCGTGACTTTGGATACGGTCAATAAGCTCAGCGTAAAGCAGATCTGATGGATACTCTTTGCCAAGTACCACAACACTCCGTAGTGTAGCAATAGCCACCCCCGGATCACTCGTACTAAGTGACGTGACCATATCAAACACCAGCGACGCGTTCATGGACGACTGGATTGCTGAAGACGGCGTGAAGGGCTTGAGTTCGTCCGACCGATTAACAGGAGGCGTACTTAAGACTGAAGAAGCTCCAGAAGTTGCACGTCGCTTGATTCCTCGCTTTAAGCTCTTCTCAGGCGTCGACAAGAGCTTGTCGATTGAGGGACTGGACATGTTCCTAGGTCGTGACGGTGTATTGGACTGAGAGAGCTTCTTAGAAGCACAGGGTTTATACGTGGAGCCCACGGTGCTCAGTATTTCTTCCACTTTAATGTCACTATCACTGTCGCTGTCACTCAAGATGCTGCTGAGACAACTAGAGGCGGCAAGACGAGAGTTCGTATGGATATTAGACTTTAGGTCACGTTCGTCTATGTTCACAAAGAGATAGTGACGTAAGTAGACGGAAGTAGGAAGTATAAAGATAGTGAAAAGAACGACAAGAGTCAGGTGAATACAATGAGGTATAGTCGATACGTGAACGTACCGTCAGAGATGAGAATTACCGCTTTCGTCGCGGCGTCAGACGTCACTTTAAGCTTCTTCTTGTCCATTGTCATTTAAGTATGTCACTAAAGTTTCTCTCAATTACTGACCATACAAGCGATTAATTCGTAAAATTTAAACGTAAAAACTCATAAAGTTGCTTTTAAGATTAAACTTCAATTCTCTTACAACATTAAAGCAAAAGTTTACCGGTATTCTACCCACAAAAACAATAGTACTCGGCCTCAGATTTTAATGCTCGATGGCGACCTCCATAGTAAATCTCGCTGGTACGCAGACAATCGCTGGTGTGCCCGTGGAGTTCGGACAACCAGTTCATGTAAACACGAAGAAACAGCTCCAGCGTCAAATCAATTCTATTGTCGGATGGAACGATTTGGATCGCACGCCGATGAACGTGGCGCAGACAATGTTGCGTGGCAATGAGCACCAAATGGGCGAACACCCGTATTTTGTATGTGAAAAGTCGGTGGGTGTTCGGTACTTGGTGCTGCTGGTACAGGGTCGCTGCTACCTCATTTCACAGAATTATGAGTTTCGAGAGGTCGTGCTGTTCTGTCCCGTACGCCCTGACCGACTGCAGCCCGGTGTCGACCGGAATACTGTGGTTCCTCATCAATGGACTATTCTGGACGGACTTATGGTGTGTGATAAAGATGGTAGCAAACCGGTGCTTACGCTGCTTCTGTACGACATCTTGGCACTCAATGGCAGTCCGGTGATGACCTCCAAGCTGCAGGACAGACTCAAATTGATCCAGAATGATGTCGTGGGTCCACGTAAGCAGTTGCCGCCACCAAAAGGGCAGCCGCCTGACATGTTTCAGCTTGTGCTGCAGTCCATGTACCCCATTAACCGTGTAGGGCACGTGATTCGCAGTATTCTGCCAAGAGTCTCGCAGACTAGACAGAACGCAGGACTTGTGTTCACACCAGTGCTGCTGCCGTACACGCCAGGATATTCTAAAGGACTGTACCATTGGACACCAACGTCGGTGCTATTTGCAGACTTTCAGCTTGGTGTGGAGTGGCGAGGACGCCCTCCAAAACCAGGTTTCAAGCTCGTGATCCATGATAAGCGCACACAAGTCTTCCATGACTGGATCACACTCACACCAGGTACATTTTCCAAACTAGAGATTTTTTTCATGCAAAGTGCTAATGCAGACTAACTTGCTGGGCTGATCATGGTATTAGATGACTTTGAGGCGTTCCGACAGGATAAGAAGGCTTCTTCTCGCATTGTGGAGTGTGTATATGATCCGGAGTGGCTCACGTTTATCCCTTCCCATGACAAAAGTACATGGGATTCTGGGAACACAGAGTTTAGCGCTACGGAGCGCGGTGTTGGATGGAGAAAAGGTGTACAGATAAGCGCCTAGTTTTCTTGACTGTTCCTGGTCTCTCACTATCTTGTGTGTTATGGTCAATGTAAAAGGTGGCTGGAAATTTATTCGGTGCCGTCCAGACCGCAGTATGCCGCTTGAGCATAACTTTCTTACGATGATTGAAAAAGCAGCTAGCGAGGATATTAAGCTTGAAGAGATTGAGCAATTTTTCCCCGATGACGCATCGAAAAAGTTGATATTGTCACAACAAAAAGGTCGTCACGAAACCCCAACGACGTCTGATGTAAGAACTCGGTGTTGTTCGTAACGGTGTAAATTAACCTTCTGACATGATAAATTATTTTATCAAAAGGACTTGGCTCCACCAAACAAGAAGAAACGTGGCGGCAGTGGAACAAGTGGGAGTCAAGGACCTGGTACAGGTGTGTGCTACGACTTTCAAAACAAGGGCGTGTGTCAACGCGGTCGATTCTGCCACTTTTCACATTGTGCCTGCAATTCTACATGCTCGTGCACACCGACCAATAATACTTATGGTAAGGATGTTTTAGTTGGCAAGCAGGTGCTTGGATACTAGAGCTAACTTTTCTTGCGCTGTCGTGCACAGGTGAAAGACCATTGTACAGAAGAAATGACTACGATGCCCCCCCATCCCCAGAAGGCACGCCTGCGTCTGCGGCACCAGATAAATCACCTTTGCTGCGGCACAACGACTCATTTGAGCGTGATTCTACCTTGAAGACAGGAGGTGCCACGGGCGAGGAAGAAGAAGCGGGTGAACTCACAGACAATAGTACGTTAATTTGTTTGCTTCGACATTGTCACCCCAGCTTTACTGACGAGGCATTTTCTTATCGCCGCAGATAATTTGCACATCAACAGCATTTACGCACCCCTCGAAAACTTTGATAAGGAGACGATCGCTGCAAAGCGTGCGCAATTGGCTGCTCTAGGAAATCGTCGTATATGGGCAAGCCTCGGACTCGACGATAAACCGCAACGCACGCGTGCTTGCGGGCTGGTCATATCAAAGACTGGCGAAATGACGTATGTCCGTCCGTTGGAGAAATAAGGTTCTGCTTCCCGGTATACAGTTTCCGCTTTATATCACTTGCGTCACGGAATACAAATAAAATGATCATTCAGCTATTTAGAGGGGTGGTGCGTTGTTATCGCCGACAGTCGCGGCAAGCAACGCAAGGGTGTTGCTTTAAAACGCAAACCTATTGTTGCTTGGGAGCAGCTTTTCTTGGCAGATCGGCAAACACCATTGTGCCATCCTTTAAACCTTGAATCTCATCCTTAGTGAGGAACCGACCTCCAGGTCCACGAGGCCGTCGCATAGCGTGCTTATGACGAGAATCATGGAGATACGCCTTGCGCTGACGAGGGTTTCCTAGTTTGGCTTCCAGCTTTGCTCGCTGTTGACGACGGATCATAATACGGTGGTATTGCTTGGCGTTCACGTAGACTGGCTCTTCTTCCGTGGCTTCGGCCGAGTTGGGAGTCGTAGGACGCGGGAACATTGATTGAGATAGCTACAGGACATCAACATACAGTATCATCAATAATAAGAAGCCAAAGAAGCATGAATCAAAGCTGAGTCACCATGTAGGGCTGCATCATGGCACTTGAACTGTACATGGCACGAAGTTGCTCACTATTTGTTTGTTGCTATAAGAAGAGAGTATACAAATTATCAGTCAAAGCACTTCATTGTAGCTCTTCGTATCATCTTTGTATATTCACCATACCATCTGAAGTAGCGCATTCGAGCAACATCACGAAAAGTAATACAATGTATCAGTACTTTTCACTAAAGAGGGAAAAAGAAGAGCGATGTGCTTACGAGCTGCTGAATGTATTGCTGTTGTTGCTGCTGAAAGAGAGCCAGCTGTGCCTGAAGATCAGCCTGTGAAGCGTCGGTACCAGCATTTGGCGTGCTGTCATTGGGAGGAACGACGGCATCCGAGTCGGTGAAGACCAATTTCGTGTCAGCAGTGCTTGTGGTGTCCTCCATACTGTTTTACAAAGAGAAATATTGTGTGGACAACATGGTAGTCCTGTACGTATGCTCCGGAGTTATACGATAGGATTGAAGAAATATATGAGATATGATTGGTCAAAATGGGTTTTATGTGGAGCACCAAAACAGATGGTGCAACTATGTGACGCTGCATCATGGCACAACTGTTGACATTGTAATGGGATCATTTATATAGCCAGATCAAGTAAAGAGACTCGTGCTACCTCATCTACGCTGATGCGCAAGCTGAGACGATCGATTCCAATTTATTTTACTGACTTGTAGACTCGACTGAATGCTTCTTTTGTTGCACAATGCGGAAGAAAGCCGCGACACTCTCCGATGCCCTACATAAGAAGCAGCAGCCGTTTGTTAGTTAATGGGTCTATCTATATTCTACTTCTCGTCAATACTCACCGCTGACATGCCTCCGAACATGCAAAATATTGCTCTTCTGACAGCAAACCTAAAGAAAATATACATATAAGTCAGACCGTGTCCATCCAGATCCTGTGCTTGATCATTGCATCACACCGACCGTTAGTGATGCAGGTCAGAACGCCATCACTTGTGCTGGATCTCGAAGTGGTGACCCATGAAACAGCTTCCTGTAGACAACAAAAAGGGTTTTGCATAAGTTCTCGATACTCATATCACCACATGAAAAAGATGACCGCCACTTTACCTCTTCTTCTACAGATGAGGGGTCCAAGTACAAATTGCCGTCAGCAAAAATCCCGCAAGAAGTTGCCGTGACGACCGAGATCATAGGAACTCCAGCATCCATCAGCGCCAAACTCACTGCGTTTATCGCAACTGCAAGAAGGTGCTAATATCGAACGACAAAATTGTCAAACTAAGGTTAAGGACGACTAAAACCGGCACCACGCTGCTTCTTCTAGACCAATTCAAACTTTACACCCCAATAGCATCAACAAATGCAGCAAATAGTAAATGGTAGAAAGGATATAGAGCCATTGTCTTCGATGACTTGCACCACGATGCTGATAACAGCACGAGGGAAGTTGTCGGAGAGCACGACGGGCGTGAAAGTCTCGCGGATAATCAGCTCGTACTCCTTCTCTTTGGACGCTGCAGCAGCAACATGACAGCATAGGCGGCCTAAGTTCTCCACCATTTATAATCAGTCTGTAAAACCTATTAGATAAACCTACTCATGACGCCTTTTTCCAGCTTAAAACACACATCCAGTGTGGCCTTGTCCGTCTTCTCACTGCGCCAATTGCGCGCTTGGCCAGGGCCATGCACCGCGGCCAATACAGTGGTTCTACCGTGCGACATACGCGCAGATCCATCAGCACGAAAGAGTGCGCCCTTTTCGCAAGCAAATGGTCGCAGTTCATTGCCAGCACGGCCATCTTGACGCTGATGTGGAATCGTAGCCACCATCACTTATTTTAAAGTGAGCTGGTCAAGTACTTGGCTACATTTGTAGTGGTACAGTGTACCGCTTTTTGACACCATGTCACAGATGCAAACCCATACCTGATTGTCTTGATCGAATATGGCATGGGGGACGTCACCGTCGCCTCCTGCGGCCGCTCCAGCAGCTCCGACGCCCATGACAGCTAATAACGTTATCTTTCTTATACGTAAGCTTACTCGTGTGTCATTTTTTACCTCTATTTCCTTCTAGACAGCAAACTACATGTCTCTAAACGTTTGTACCTTTTCATTCCAACAGTCTTTGGCATGTTCCTTATGGCTACACTTTTGCCTATACTCATGGCTACACTCTTCCGTCTCGTCATACTCGTTTCTGCTGTGATAGTTATTGCTGTAGCAACGAACCCGTCCGATCATTCGTTCGCACTGTGGACCAGCCAGCAGAATGAACCGGGAGATCTAGTGCCTGACGTGTCTGTGGGCGTCTCCAAGTGGTTCTCAGCAGTGTATCAGACAGCTAAAGCTCTGGTCTGCAATGAGCCATTAACTTGGCGTTTTCACAATGCGCTGGTCTTTAGTGTCGTCCATGTGCCGTGCAGAGAGCGCTACGCCTTTGGTGTTTTTGGGACGTGGCGCTGGGCTGATGAGGCTGGTGATTTTATTAAAGCTTTGTGTCGTGCACCGTGGGTGATGAAGATATCGAGAGGTGGATTCATGTCAAGTATCGAAAATTATACCGTAAAAGGCTCTGAGATTATTGGAGATTCAAGTTTTGATGGAGTGTTAAGACGTAGAAAAGCTACAGCATCAACAGGGTCCGTAACTAGTTATAATGAGGTGAAAACCGAGTCGCATCGGCAGATTCGAGCAAAGGCTATGCAGTTTAAAGTGAGAAAAGACTGGAAGAATGCTGCAGTGTTTTTCAGGGAGGCGGCGAAGGTGGCCGGTGCTTTGCTGACACGTGCCAACTACGAGTTGGAATCAGCGTGGTGCACATTAGAGGAAGCGGAAACGTACCCGAATGAGCAGAGTGATCTGTTTCAGCGCATCCGAAGTGTGTGTGATGAGTTGGCTACTGCTGGGTACTTTGATGAAGCAGCTCGCGGGCTTTCTGAGTTGGCTCTACGATTAAAGCGAAAATTCCCAGTAGATTGTAAAAAGATTGAGCAGGCCATGGAAGTGGCAGAGCTGTATCTGCAAGCCAAGAATGTTGCCGAAGCTGGTGGTAGTGCGCACACTGCTGCAGAAAATGGTTTGTCGGCGGCACGGTTGTATACTGATGCTGGCTTGTGGTCGCTTGCTGGCACCTGTTTTGAGGCGGTTGGTGACATTCGACGTGGTCATGAGCAAAACGAACTTGCAAATGAAGCATACGGCAATGCTGTTCTCTGTCGCTTTGGCCAACTAGACATGGCTGGGGCAGAGAGTATGCTAAATCGATTTACAGAGCACATGGGTGACACACACCGCTCGACTGACATGGATAACTTCCTGTTTAGCATACTGGAAGCTTGCAGCAAATGGTCGCCACAGGTCCTTGAGAGGGCAGCTAAGCGCTATGATTCGTTGCATCGGCTGGCGCCATGGCAGGTAAGAACTAACTTTCTTAGTTTCGATGTGTTTAATCATGTGACTAAGTGCGAAACACATTTAAGCGTACTTGTCTTGCCAAATTGCAGGATAAAATGAACAGTGCTGACTTGCGCTAATTCACAGAGCGTGAGTAAGCGGCTTGGTAGATTCATGAAAAGAATGACTTGAGGAAAAGAATTATCCTCGCCGCTTCTGTGGGCAGACAATTGCGTTTTTTTGTAGGTCGGCGTTGCTTGATGTAGCAGAATCAGCCTTCATGCAAAGAGATGGCAAGTCTCACGATATAGGTAGGTGACTTCTGGCTTGGGAGGAACAGCCAGGCATTTGACAGCATTCCAAGCGCAACAGGTCTTAAGATCTGGCGCTGAAATCCCCTCGGCGGCGACATCCGACATTCATTTTCGATAATCGACCACCCCTGCAGCCGTCATCCTTGGTGTGGACATGCCGTTTGATAACGGCGACTACGTTTACATGAAGAAGGCACTTTGTGGTCGTGCCATTTTTAGATTGACCTCTTTGCTAATAAAGGGGCAAGTCAGACCGACAATCTGCTTGCGTTTCCAGCTTATGAATATACCAAGAACAACACTTGTAGTGCTGTTTTGATTTTTCGAAATACACGGAATTGTTTTCCGTTCCATCAGCTATAACGACCTTATTTACGTGTTATGATTGAAAGGCTACAATAGTTGCTAGGAACGAAGGATCTCTTTTCTTCGTCACGGGAATGTAGTTCCTATGTATTCGCTGGGACAGACAATCCAAGTTTCCGATATTCAAACTGTTGAAAAGTAGAATAAAGTTAACATGAATGACTTGTATATTAACGCGTGCCAGACGCGTTTCGGCCCCCGGCGCGGCCTCGTCAGTGGCTTTGCCAATTTACAAGTGAGAACCACCCGACTATTTCCTATCTAAGACCTATCACATCCATAAAAGCATCTAGAAGCCTTTACAACATTCCATATATCCTAGCGTAGGCTGAAGCTCTGGAGTCAATACCAATCGCAACTTGCACTTTTCAACACAAACACCAACGCGTCTTCGGTCGGAACAGTCTATTCACGTTGTAGAATTTTTGCATGCGCTCCTGCGCTCCACACATACGATCTAGCGTATCTTCTGGAGTAATTTCTCTGAAAGCATTATTCTTGGATCTACTAACTACTTGCACTAACTTTGCGTGACAGAAATAACGGCTAATCGCACTTTCACGTGTCTTTTCTAAAGCTTAACTTTCAACACAATTAAGGCTTCAGGAATTGCAGTGATAAAAGCTCTATAGACGCTGCGTTTGATTCAGCAAGGACTGCATGACAATCCTTGCTAAGTTACGGAGCGTCTTTGCAGCCGACGTCATGCATACTATGGCCTCATGGAATTGAGCTCACGACCGGCAAAACTCAGCTTGTTATATGACGTCGTAAACAAAAACGTCAGGAAAGCACTAGACACTACGACACAATACACACATACTTCATGTAACAGGGCATCTAGTTACACGTAAACATTAGGTAATATACTTAAAGTTTGGTCTAAAAGTATTCATGATTACTTTTGACCTGTCTTATGATTTTTGGCAACAGCCAAGGGTGAGTTAAGGTGGGAGCGCTTAGAAGAAGGTAAAATGAAAAGTGAATTATTATCTAGCTAGGTCCTTAGTTTGTATCGTTGTACTACTCTAAGTAGTGGTGGGACCCAGACTCAGACTCAGTGGGTAATTACCCATACCCAGACTCATGGGTTGGGTATGGGTAATTGGCCTCAATTAACCAACTTACCCATGGGTACCCATGGGTAAATGTACCAAATTTTTGGGACATACATCAGACACACCTGCTCGTATTGATTTCTAATTGTTTAATGTATTAATGACTCATTACGCCTTTTTTGGTGAAAGTTTACCGCACATATGATGCAAAGCAACTGGAGCCGGTGGCGCAGGCCATGCTAAGCAAACTCAAGAAATATATATCAAGCTGGCGTTTAATCAAGATGCAAACTTCTTTGCGACAGTGTTAGATACAAGATGGAATATTAGCTGGTTCAAAAACCTCGACGAAGGGCCAAAGCAATTTTGGGCTCTTGGCCATAGCCCACAAGCAATTAAGTTGCTTTTTGTGGGTGCAGCATACAGTCATCAGAAGTCATAAGAACAAATCCCGCCTCCGCCACCTGTCAACATTTGTAACGACAAGAGCGATGACGACATGGAGCCAGACGTCTTCGCATTTGCTGAAGGCAGAGTTCTACAGACCGCAGTGAGCAAAGTCGAGGATAGAGCTCAGACTTATTTTGCTCTTTCGCCTGTTCACATACACTAATTGCCATTGGAGTGGTGAGCATTGCATCAGCTGCAATTCCCGACACTTGCAAGGATGGCAAGATTTTATCTGGCCATCCCCGCGTCTTCAACTCCGTCTGAGAGAGGTTTCTCTCAAGGTAGAAAGACTTACAGGTAGAACAGAACTTCGCTTTCCCCTAAAAGCTTGGAGAGGCTTTTGTGCCTCAAGGATTGGATAAGGACACAGAGTCACGTTTTTTTGTCGGCAAGGGACTAGTTTTTTCCTTTGTCAGCTCGCTAAAACTTCCCAGTGGAAGACGTAGAGTGTGGATACTTTTATTACCAATTTTCATAATGCTTTTTCTCCCTTTCATATTGTTTAATAGTCCGCATGTCTATTGCGCGGGTAACATGGGTAATTACCCGCGGGTATGAGTCCAAGTCGTGGGTAATAAAATTTGAATGAGTCTGAGTCGTGGGTAAACGCAATTACCCAACCCAGACTCATGGGTAACCACCTCTAACTCTAAGCCTATCGATATCGACTCTACCATATTAGTAACAAAACGATGAGTCGATCCCATCGTTACACACAATCACGTAGTGTCGTCTATGTCATGTGGTCATTTGTATCAGTAACCAACAGCATTACCAATACTCTCTCTCGACTAGAATTCTCTAATCTTAGCTTTGTCCAGCAGCGACTCGAACTTCTTTGTCGAAATCGGTTTGGTCAGATAATCTGCCAGCTGTGACTTGGTTTCAGTATACTGTAGGTCGATAATTTTGTCTTTCACCTGTTCGCGCACAAAATGGTATCTGATGTCGATATGCTTCGCTCGACTTTGAAAGCCGTCGTTCTTAGCAATGGAAATTGCACTCTGGTTGTCTTCATGAATCGTGATAGCATAGTTAATCGGCACTTGCATCTCCTTGAGTAGACTTCTTGTCCATAGAACCTCCTGTACACACAAAGAAAGAGCCATATACTCTGCTTCTGCCGTGCTCAGTGCCACGCTCTGCTGCATCTTCGACTTGAAAATCACAGGTGCACCATTAATCATGACAAAAACTTCCGAAATCGATCTGCGATTCCACTTGTTACTTGCCCAGTCCGCATCCGTGTACGCGCTCAACTGAAGGTTGCCTAAAACTCCTTTATAACAAATTCCTTTGCTCTTCGTCGTCTTCAGATATCGCAACACTCGAATCGCTGCATTCCAGTGCTCTTCATGCGGAAATTCCAAATGACGACTCAGCTGACATGCCGCATACGCAATATCTGGTCGTGTGCCTGTTGCCACATATAATAACGACCCCACTAACGACCGATACGGCCGATTCTTCATTCTTGTGTCAGCTTTGTCCATTTTGACCATCGCTTTCCCTTCAACACATGGATTTGACACCGCTTTTGCATCGACTTGATTAAATTTCTTGACCATTCTTAAAATACACGATCCTTGACTGATCTTCAAACGTCGATTGTCGCGCAGGTACTTGACTTCGATTCCGAGAACGTATCGAACACTCCCCATTATCTTCAAGTGAAAACGACTTAATAGTTGAGCTGCCACATCGTCCATTGCTCCACTAGATTCAGCCCCAATTAGAAGGTCGTCCACATATAATGCAGCGTAAATCCACGAGCCCTTGGTCTCTTTGACGAAGATGCAAGAGTCTGCCACGCTTGAGGAGAACCCCATCTCCACAAACACACACAAAATTGTCTTGTACCATGTTGCGGCCGCTTGTTTTAGCCCATCCAGGCTGCGATTCAGCTTAAGCACTTGATCATGTCCTGCACGAACGCCTAGAGGAGGGTATACGTATACCTCTCCTTCCAATACGCCATATAGAAAAACAGTGTCGACATCATATTGATGAATTAATATCCCCTTTTGACAGCATACCGCCAAAAACACTCGTTTTGAGTTGAGGTTTGCCACAGGTGAATATGTCTTCATGTAATTAACTCCATAAGTCTGTCTGTAGCCAAGTGCTACAAGACGTGCCTTGTATCGAATAATTTCACCTAGCTCGTTTCGCTTTCGTTTGAGTGCGAACACCCACTTGGTTACAATCACTTTCTCGTTTGGACGCTGTGTGTGAACTGTCCAGGTGTTCTTTTCCTTCAATGCCTTGAGCTTAGCTTGAATGGCCTTGTACCAATCATCACGATGAGGTGACTTAAGAGCTTCTTCGTATGTCGTTGGGGTCTCGAACGCTGCACATGCTTGCTCATACCCAATACGTATTCTCTTTGTGCCTCTTTCTTGACACAATTATGAGCCGTCATAAAAGTCCTCATCAGCGCTACCCACTGGTACTAACGCTTGAGATTGTCCATGTTGCATAGATTCTAATGGAACCATCGCGGTTTTTTGCACTGCTTGAACACTTGTCCGTTGACTTGGTCGTATCACCATCTGCCCTTGTTTTGACACTTCTTCAACTGATTCTTGATCTTCTTCAATCATCGTTACATCATCAATCTCAAACATTGGGTCGTCAGCATTAAATTCCACGTGTCCATGCATATCGCTACTGCATCTCGATGGTAAAGCCATCGTAGTTGTACGCCTGTCTTGCGTGTGACTTTCTTCTTGAACACTGTGACTGTCCTCCATTGCTATGTCCATGTCTTTCGTGACTCGTGGTTGGTCTAAATCGATATAAACAACGTCTTCATCTTGAACAGCGCGGACTTCTTGATCACTGGATCTGCTGTAATGTTGCACGTACTGAGGTGGTGGCCTCTCATCGAATCTAGCCGATCTCGTGTGCGTCACCATCTTGGCATATTCATCCCATATTCGAAACCCCTTG